CGGCCCCCCCCCCCCCCCCCCCCCGGTGCCTGTGTTACAGAGGCAGCTGTGGGTGGAGGGGTGACTAGTCGACTGGACTACCCAGTGAGCCTAGGTTTGTCGACTACTCGCTTACATCCCTGCTCCAGACCAGGTGGCTCTGCCCTGCGGTATGGTTCCCCACTGGGGTGGGAAGCCAGCACTTGCTGGGTTTCACTTTCAGTGCACAGAGTAGTAACCAGCCAACAGGTCTGCTCAGGGAGCAAGATCCTGCAAGGGGATTGGAGGGCTGGAAGAGGGTGGAAGGTGGCAAAGATCACTAGCTAGGACCCTCCTGGGGATCTTAAGTACCACACGGGGATTAGGAGCCGGTCGTCGTCTTGTTCCCCAGGCAGCAGAGGCCAAATCTAAGGGCTGCTTAAAAGCACAGCAGTACACCTCAGTCCGATGGACGAAGATATCACATGCTCTGAAAATACAGCCGCCCCAAAGCCACCTAGTGATAGATCTGCATCTGCTTGCATGCCAGATTTATCTTGTCTGAGCTTCCCAAAGCTCTAGCAACAAGCCAAGCAGCCTTGAGAGAGAAATTACTTTGCGAAAGAAACATCAGCAGCACGGGTAATATCTGCACTGACAGCACCAGTGGAAAGGAGAGCAGAGTGGGCTGCTCCTGCCATCTGCGGTGTCTTGCCGTCATTAGTATCTGTCTCCTCTCCAGCCATCCCTCTCCGGAGCATTTAAAGCCCAACAGGATGACGAGCTAAAACTGTCTCCCCTGATTCATTGGTGAGCCCTCCTCAGCAGTCACCTCTTTGGTGTGCGAGACCTAGAGGAGACCCCTCCCACATAACCCCCCTCGCCTCCACTTTGATTTGAAGTGGCCGTATGAGGCAGGCGCGCAGACAGAAGAATTTGTTAATCTCCATACCTTGGTAATAGCCCCCAACGGGCCTGCGTACTTTTCAGCAAGGGGGAGGGAATTTAAGTTACATCTTAGGGGACGCTTCTAACTCTAAGGTTCTGCCTCGGTGCAGACCACTGGCCGAGGGAACCTCTCAGGGCCCGTTCCAGCCTGATGCTTCTGTGATGGTAAAAGCCCTGAAGGGTGGCGTGTCGGAGGAAGTTAGGTGACACTGAAATGCCCAGCCCTAGGCAATAGGATAATTAGCGGAGGCCTGTGGGTAATAGCAACAGGCCTGTGAGTTTTCATTCCCGGTTCATGCTTGGGGAAAGCAATGACGTTTCCTTTTTTTAACCAAGTAAACCGCCTTGTTTTAAGGCTTTTGGACAGAAGATCCAGACCTGCTGGTATAGTCCCATGTGTAATGCAGCTATGGTCTCTTCTAGGCACGGCTCCTTTCTGAGCAGAATTTATTAAGGCAGGTGCGATTTCTGACGGTGTGGTACACAGCTGAAAGCTGGACCAGCCCAAGAGGGCAAATCACAAACACAATAAGAGCTGCTGCCATTGAGGAACAAGCTGATTGGAGTGAGAAAATTGCCAGGCAGGCTGTGCTTCCTCTTCAGCTCCGTAGAGCCATTCCGATCAAGATTGCCCTGTAAAGATAACTGGCAGCGAGGTCAATTTCTACAGCCTTCCAATAATGCCAGCAGCCAGGTTTAATATACTCAGGGACGAGAACTCAAAAGCTGCTTTATTTTAGATATTAACATTTTTGTAATAAAAAATGCATGTCCTCCAGCGAGCTGCCTGCACATGAGCGTGCTCTCGGAGGTCCTTGGTGGAACAGCTCAACAGCTGGCATGCGTGCAGAGAAAGATACTAGTCCGTGTCCTGTGCAGTGTAAATCAGTGGATAGCTTTGCAAAGCACGTGTAGTTAATCTGAGTGCTGCAGAAAAGCAACAGTCCTGTCTTAGGTACTTAATATCTTCCATTGCCATAGTATCTGAGCACCTCACTGTCTGAAGCATTTATCCTTCCAATGCCCCAGTGAGGCAGGGCAGTGCCATGTCCCCATTGTACAGGTGGGTAATTGTGGCCCAGAGAGACTAAGTGACTTGCTCAAGGTGACAGAGTCAGTGGCAGAACAGGGAATTGAATCCCAGGCTAGCACTTTGACCGGTGGGCTCTCCTTCCTTTCTGCCATGGACAACGATGTCCTCTTGAGCCAGTTACCCAGTAAGAATCACCCTTACCAGATGATGCTTACTGGGAGCAGCCCCACGTGGATGGCAGCTGGGACCAGGAGCTGGCCCCCACGCAGCTGGGGCTGGGGGCTGAGGGAGGGACTGGGAGCTGGCAGAGCAAGCCCCAGCCCCAGCACAGAGACGGGGAGCCATCCTGCCCAGGTGGGGGGGGGGGGGGCATGGCGTGGTGATAGCCTGCTACTCGGTTAACTGGTTAGACATTAGGTTAACCTAGTGTTTAACCAGTTCACTGATTAACTGGGATTTAACATCCCTACTGCAGTGTGCAGCATGGCGGCCAGGCAAGCTTTCCCCTAACTTCTGAGGAGACCCAAACAAGATTTGCTGGGTGGGAGGCACCGTGAAGTAACTCCACCTTCCACTAGGTCTCTGCTGTAGACCTGAGAGCCTCACAGCTGTGCCTCTGCAGCCATGTCACTGGAGGACAGAGCTCTCCCCCTGGCATCGTTAAAGCACCCGTAGCGAGTGGCATGTCGGCAAGAGAGCATCTCCTGCTGGCGCGTCTGGGTTTCCCACCCCCGACTGACACAAGTGGTGTTGGCAGATGTGCAGACAAAGCCTGCAAGTCGTCATGTGCCTGAGCTGGCGTTGGCTCCGTCCGGCGCTCCGTGGTGAGGGCTGCACAGACTGGGGCAGGCTCTTACTCCCCGCTTTGTGTCTCTTGCAGTGGTTTCCAGCGAGAGCGAGAGCGACTCCGAATTCAGCTCCTCTAGCCTGGATGACAAGTCCTTGTCTGGGAGGTCCAAGGGCCTGAAGATCAGGAAGCCCGAGGCGGAATCAGGTGAGGAATCGGCTCTCACCCCAGCAATGAGGGCATGGAAAGGGGGGGAGGGAAAAGCAAGGAGGCTGGAAGCACCTTAAAAATGGACGAGATGCCACTGGCCTCCGTGTTGGTTTTGCTAAAACAAACAAACCAGCTCCCCCCCGAAACCCGTCACCATGCAGGGCAATGGAAATGTGGCCTCGGCGGCTCTTGCTATGGTGCACCCTGGACCTGCCCCCCAGCCGCTATAAATTGGTGTCCTTCTCCTGGCTTCGCTTTGCTTCAGCTGAGGATGTGGCTGCCCCCAGGAGTTCCGGGCTAGTGCTGTGGCTGGGAGCCTGCCGGGGGAGAACAGTCTCCGTCCCATGTTTGCAGGGCGCAGGGCACAGCGGTGCCTCTGTGACGGCGAGTCGAGGGTCCCCCCATCATGCAGCCCCGTAGCAGCAAGAGCAGAGATGCCAGCCAGTAGAATAGAGGGGTTATTGCTTTTCCAGGACACAGCGCAGCCTAGACGTGACGTGGCTACAGGAGTCTGGGCCAGGATGCCTCAGACCCCCCTTGGGATGGGGTCCCTGGGCCATTAGACTCCAAGCCCCCCCCTCCGGAGTCTCTCTCCTTCATAGAATCATAGAATCATAGGACTGGAAGGGACCTCGAGAGGTCATCAAGTCCAGCCCCCCGCCCTCATGGCAGGACCAAGCTCCACCTACACCATCCCTGACAGATGTCTATCTAACCTGTTCTTAAATATCTCCAGAGAGGGAGATTCCACCACCTCCCTTGGCAATTTATTCCAATATTTGACCACTCTGACAGTTAGGAATTTTTTCCTAATGTCCAATCTAAACCTCCCCTGCTGCACTTTAAGCCCATTACTCCTTGTCCTGTCCTCAGAAACCAAGAGGAACAAATTTTCTCCTTCCTCCTTGTGACACCCTTTTAGATATTTGAAAACCGCTATCATGTCCCCCCTTAATCTTCTTTTTTCCAAACTAAACAAGCCCAGTTCATGAAGCCTGGCTTCATAGGTCATGTTCTCTAGACCTTTAATCATTCTTGTCGCTTTTCTCTGTACCCTTTCCAATTTCTCCACATCTTTCTTGAAATGTGGCGCCCAGAACTGGACTCAGTACTCCAGCTGAGGCCTAACTAGTGCAGAGTAGAGCGGCAGAATGACTTCACGAGTTTTGCTTACAACACACCCGTTGATACAACCTAGAACCATATTTGCTTTTTTTGCAACAGCATCACACTGTTGACTCATATTCAACTTGTGGTCCACGATGACCCCTAGATCCCTTTCCGCCATGCTCCTTCCTAGACAGTCGCTTCCCATCTTGTAGGTATGGAACTGATTGTTCCTTCCTAAGTGGAGCACTTTGCATTTCTCTTTATTAAACCTCATCCTGTTTACCTCTGACCATTTCTCTAACTTGCTAAGGTCATTTTGAATTATGTCCCTATCCTCCAAAGAAGTCGCAACCCCACCCAGTTTGGTATCATCTGCAAACTTCATAAGCGTACTCTCTATCCCAATATCTACATCATTGATGAAGATATTGAATAGTACGGGTCCCAAAACAGACCCTTGCAGAACTCCACTTGTTATCCCTTTCCAGCAGGATTTAGCACCGTTAACAACAACTCTCTGACTACGGTTATCCAGCCAATTATGCACCCACCTTATCGTGGCCCTATCTAAGTTATATTTGCCTAGTTTATCAATAAGAATATCATGCGAGACCGTATCAAATGCCTTACTAAAGTCTAGGTATATGACATCCACCGCTTCTCCCTTATCCACAAGGCTCGTTATCCTATCAAAGAAAGCTATCAGATTAGTTTGGCATGACTTGTTCTTCACAAACCCATGCTGGCTATTCCCTATCACTTTATTACCTTCCAAGTGTTTGCATATGATTTCCTTAATTACCTGCTCCATTATCTTCCCTGGGACAGACGTCATGATTCCAGAAACTGACCCTTCCCCCAACACTCACTTCTTTTGTTCCATCCCTTCCCTTAACCGGTAGAACCGCTTCCGTCACGCCCCCCCACTGGGCAGTGCTGACAGACATAGGCCTAGGGGTCACCCACAGCCCAAGCACAGCAACCAGCAAGGTACTGACACTGCATCACGGCCTCCATCTCAGCTGGGGCCCTGGAACATGGCTGAGCTAGAGCGGTTAATGAAGAAGGGCAAGAGCCAGGATGGCTCGGCAGGACTCAGGATGGGTCGTCCCACTGTGAGCTTGCGGGTCTGCTCAAGGCACTGGCCTCCTGCTACTCCCGTCCCTCCTGCCAGGAGGCCTTTCGGCTCTCACCCCGCCAAGGCGGGAGCATGCTGCATGCTTGTGATCTCCGGTCTCCTGTGGAAATGGTGGCTCTGTTGGGTTGGCCTCCCCGCCCCTGAAGCTGGGGGTGTGCCTGCCTGTTGGGCGGGGAGCTCCGGGGCAGCCGTGCAGGGCAGGCCTGGCGCCAACGCAAGCAATTTGGCCCAGGAGTCCCACCCGCCTGGGCTGCAGCGAGGAGGGGTGGCTCCCATCTGAGGAGGGGCTGGGCAGCTGCAGATCATGTCTATCAGGGATGGTCTAGGCGGTACTGGGTCCTGCCATGAGGGCAGGGGACTGGACTCGACGCCTCTCGAGGTCCCTTCCAGTCCTAGTGTTCTATGACCACAACATCAGAATTCCCAGCGTGCTCTGGCTGGCCTGAGAAGGGAGGCTGGACTCCCGGAGGTGGGTCAGAAGGTGGCATGCTAGTAGGGCGGGGGGTGGGCCTGCTCTGCTCTGTGGCTGTCTAGGGCCAGAAACCCAACCCCTGCCACGCCCATAAACCCCAGCAGCTCCCCCAACCACGAGCCCTGCAGCAACCCCCCCTTGTGTTTCTGTAGCGGCTGGCAGTGACGCCCCCAGGACTCCCAGCGGGAGCACCCACTCCGGCGCCTTCTCCAAGAGCCGCAGCAGCAAGCCCAGGGGAGGCCCCGGTGCTGCTGAGAGCTGCCAGAGTGACCTGCTGGCGGAGCAGCGCGACAGCAGTGCCAGCCGGAGCGGCCCCGGTGAGTGAAAGGCCTCGTCGCCCCCAAGCTGGCGCTGTGTCTGCAAGCACATGGCCCAGCTCCCCTCCTGAGCCCCAATGGGCAGCCTGGCCCCGAGCTGCCGAGAAAAACCCTGTGCACTTCTAAGAGGGTCCAGGCCTGTGTCCGAGAGGGCCGTGTGAGGTTCAGTGGCCAGATGGCGGGAGGTGAGGGTGGCCTGGGACATACAGGAGGTCGGACCGGCTGATCTGGTGGTCCCTTCCGGCCTTGAACTCCACGGTTCTGCACACCTTGTCCAAAGTCCTGACTTTCAAGCTCTGTCCGTCCCACTAGTGCTGGGACCATCCCAAACACCCCTACGCTTGGCCGCTTTTCGCCCATGAAATCCCAGCGTCTGCACCTGCCTTGCGGCAGCACGGATCTGAACTTTAATTGAGGCAAAGTGCAAACCCAGGTGTGGCACAGGGGGATAACGCGCTTTGGATATATCCGGGCCGCTCGTAAATGAAAACACCCCACTGCCCAGCCCTGGGCAGCATGAGCACAACCTCCCTGTCTCATCCCCAGCAGCCTCGGAAGAATGAGCTGAGGTGAGAGCAGATCTGCAGGCTGCTTTCGCTCCCGATCCAGAGCAGCTGGAAGCAGTGCAGATATTTTTCTCTCTGCCGTTTACATTTATACACAGTAACCCTGGAGGTTGTCATTTAACACCTCTCATCCCAGCTGTTCCTGTCACCTCCTGGCAACCGTTGGTGGCTTGTGTGTCAAGGTGTAAATTAGAGTTGTGAGAATAGCAAAGGGGTTGATCACTCAGTGCAGCATTAATTCCTGTGCTGCCCCCTCCCCTCACTCCGCCTGCTGGGGGCGATCTCCTTAAAATCCTGCCCTCCCTTCAGTAAGAAATGGGACCCTCAAATGCCTGGCATAGCACCTCGCATGTTCCGCACCATGTGGCAAGTGTTCGGGGTGACCTGTGGCATGTACCTAGAACTGCGCCTTTCGCTGGGCTACGAAAGCATCCACGGTCCCCGGGCGCAGGTGGGATCCTGGTGCAGAAGAGGGGCCAGCTAGCGAGCGTGTTCAAAGTGCCTGGTTTTCATCTCGGGTTGTCCACCTCCCGATCCTGCGGCAGAACCGTTAGTGCTGGAATTGTTTCTTTCAGACACTGGTTCTTTTGATGGATGGGTTCTTTGCTGTGGCCTGCACAACGCCAGCAAGGGCAGGGGTGGAGAGAAGCAGCAGCAGCTCTTTCTGCCCAAGTCTGTTTGATTTTTGGGGCTTGATTTGACGGAGGACAGCTGACCCCGGCTGGTGGCCCTGTGGGGAGCAGAATGCAGCATCTCGTGCTAGCATGGGAACCTCGTGGGCCGCGAAGCATCCGCTCATCTCATGTGGAGGCCAGGGGTTAGATTAGACAGCCCATCTCCGCAGTGACCTGTGCCCAGCATGGCCTTGGGAGCACTGTTCCCACCATCCGGGCTCACTGATCCCTGTAAGCCCTGGCTCTCACTGCGGCAGTGTGTAGTGGCTCGGCAGAGGCTCTGCCTGGTGTGCCCGGAGCAAGCCTGATCCAAACAGCAGGCCCTTGGCAGCACGTGGGTGTGCAGAGACGTAGGCCCAGGCTGCTCAGAACGGCTGGCTGCTCCCTGCTCTGGGTGTTGGGGGAGGGGAGGCTTTGCGCACTTCTCACTGTTTGCCCCTTGCGGGAGGGGAGGAGCCTTTGTGTGCTGCCCCGCTCTCAGCCTAAATCAGTGCAGCTCCCGTTGGCTAGTTTCCGGCCAATGGGAGTTGCTATGACTGGGATGGGGGTGGGAGCAGCATGCAAACTCCCCTCCCCCGGCATGTGGAGCAGAGAGCCACATGGAGGGAGCAGCTAGCCATTTTGAGCAGCACATGGACGGAGCCTTCCTCAGGGTCCTACTGGGCTGCTGGCTGAGAGCCATCTGGGTAAGTGTCTCCCAGCCCTGCATCTGCCACCCCAGCCAGCTCTGCTCCCCAACTCCCTGCCCAGGTCACCACCCAAACGCTCTGAACACCCCTCCTATGCCTTCCCTGGGTCAGAATCCTCTCCTGCACCCATACACCTTCCCGGACCCTGCACCCCAACCCCCTGCCCAGGTCACAACCCCCCGCTTCACCCAAACTCCCTCAGACCCTCCCCTGTACACCCAACCTCTGTCCCAGACCCTGACCCCCTCCAGAGCAAAGTGCAGCCCTTGACCACTTACCAAAATCTTGGAGCAGCTCCCCCCCCCAAATCAAAAATTGCCCACCCCTGGTCTAGAGCAGATGAGTTCAGGCTTCATTTCTGTCCTGCACTCGTGCAAATACCTCAGTGATCCCAGCCATGTACTAAACTAATTCAGCTGCTTCTGCTGATTGCAAGAGACAGTCGGTCTGGCACGTGCACGGTCTGTTTCCTTGGCTGAGTACTTTGCCCCCCCATGCCCCGCCAGCCGCTCGCGTTTGAAGGCATTATATAAAGCACAAACGGCAGGCTTGGGAAAGGGTGTTTGCGTTAATTTTTAAAGCCCTGGGCTTCTTCCAGAACCATTCTGGCCTCCACCCTCCAAAACCCATTTCTCCACTGCGCACGGATGACGTGAGCCCAGAGTGAATGGCTCTGCAAGTCATTAGCATGGCTGTAGCATTCCCAGCGCTAGGCAGCCGTGCAGCAGAGATATGGGCAGAGTGTAATGGCAGCCGTGGTACATAATGCACGACTGTCGCTGTCAGCAATGGACTGTAGCCCCCAGAGCAGGTCCTGGTGTTCCACACGGCTCCAGCACGAGGCATTCAATAACTGCACCGCCCGGGGGGGAAGTCCGTGGGCCAGGTACCCCTGTATCCATTTCAGGAGTCTGCAGCTCCAGTGCCTCTGCCTGGGGTTGACGCGTGGAACTTAGCTTTGTGGGACCCCTGTGGCGCGGTTCCCTGGGCGGTCGCCCTGTTGGCCACCCCCTAATGCCAGCCCTGCACTGGTGACCCCTACCCCCATTCCGGGGGGTGTGACCCACCAGTTTAGAAACACTAATCTAGATGAGTTGACCTGCCCTGGGAAGACTGCCACGTACCCCCAGGAGCCGTGCAAGAGAGCCACCGGTGGGGGAGAACTTGTAAACAGAAAAGCGAACCGGTTCCCGGCAGTGCGCAGTAGTGAGCACGCTACTCCAGCGAGTGGGGCACTGGCCTAGCTGTCAAGATGGCTTATTCCCAGTGCTGCCTGTGCTGTGAAACTGCCGCTAGCAGTGCATAGGTCACTCAGTCGCCCTGTGCCTCGATTGCCATCTGCACGAGCAGGGAAAAGCCCCACCCCGGCCCACAGTAAGAGGCCAGATGAGCGCCTCGGCAGAGAGATCTCTGCCTCCCTTCCCCTCCCTCACTGGGTCGGTTTCGCCTGGACGTGCTTGGTGCGTGACTGGGCAGTGCCAACGGAATGGGGCCCCTCGGCCTCACTGCAGGACAAACCATTCAAACTCCACTTGGGACCCTTCCGTCTCATCTCGCTAGGAGGGGCGGGTGCTGATGGGTTCCTAACGGCCAGACACAGTGTAGCACGGTGAAGCATTCCTACAAAACCCTTCTTAGCCATCCACAATCTGCTCCAGGCCTCTGCATTGCAGGGCTCCTGGGTGAGACTAGGGTTCAGAGAGAGGTGGGGTGCGCAAGGGGAGAGGCTCCAGTTCATTTAAACCCTCTGCAGCTTGTTGCAAAACAAGATCCCCATGGGGGAATGTATCTGTCGCCTTTCTGAAAGTCTCCAGTGCTTTATAACACTCTAAGGTTAGCGCCTTAGCCCCGTGGCTCATAGCAGCAGCTCAAGTGTTGTTTTGTTTTTAATGCCGAGCTCATTCTCACCTCTTCTCTAATTCTGTACCAAAGTGCAACTCTCAGGTGCCTTTCCCGTCCTAAGAACAAATCCCGAGTCGTTAGCTTGTTGACGAGTTCCTGTGATTATTCCACAGAGTTTTGTCCTGGCAGTCTGCAAGGCTCCCGCTCCCGCTCGAGAGAGCTGTGGAGAGAGCATTGCCACGGGTATGCTGTAGGGAAGGCAAGGAAGGGACTGGTGAAAAAGGCCACGAAATTCCAGGGTATCACATTTGTGGCTGAATTATTCAGTCACAAAATTTGACTGCCCAGTTCCCATTAAAATTCCTGGGTGTCCTGATCCCCCCGCAGCTTTGAGACTCTGCACCCGCCTCTCTAAACACATGGGTCTAAATCTTCAGGAGCAGCTAGTGAATTGGGATGCTGCGATTTTGGGGCATCCAGTTTGAGTGAGAAGCTGTGAAAAGGCCTGGACTTCAGAGCATGGGTGCTCAGTGCTTTGTGCGAGCCAGGCTTCTTCGGGGCATCTCCACTTGGGCCATTACCTGGGTCCCTCTGGGCCGGTGAACGTGGCACCGATGGGGATTGCTGCACTGACACGAGGAGAGGCTGCTGTTAACAGCACGTGGGCGGGGTGGGCACACGAGGCGAGCGGCCTCATGCCACCCCCTCGCTCTGGAAGAACTGCGTGTAGGAGAGGCGGGGAGGTCCGTCCCCACGGCCTGGCCAGGCCTCAGTCTCTCTGCTGGGACTGGCCTCAAAGGGTGCAGCTGGGGTTGCAATCTGGACGCTAGCCCAGCAGAAAGTGGGCTTGGGCCTTTGGCCACCTGGCGCCTGCTGCCTTCCCAGAGCCTTGTGGGGCCATCGAAATGAGTGGGCTGTGGATGCTGCAAGTGCCTCTGAACGCAACGGTGCCGCAGGTGTGTTTAGCCAGCCGGAGGCTGAGGGAGAGACTGGCTGGAGCAGCGCGACCGCCCGGCTTCCCGCCGAGAATGCCCCGCTCGCTTAGCCAGAGGCGCGCTGCTGGGAGGGGAGCCCGCGAGTCACGGGCAGCCAGTGGGCCTGCGCTACGCCGCCTCACGCACCCCCGGGCTTCCTTAGTGCTCTGGCTGTGCCCTTGGGAAGCGCAGGCTAAAGGGGAGGGGTCGGCTGCAAGGCTGCGCTCTCCTTATGGCAGGCTTCGGTGCTGGCTAGCCAGGCCCGTGTGTCTCTCCCTGTGGTTTGCCGGTCCAGCGAGGTCACTGGGACAGTGGGCCCTAATGGAGCCTGCTCCTGAGAACCACTGAGGCCCCTCAGTCCCTCTGGGAGCTGCAGGTGCTTTTCAGCCCCCCGAAAAGCTGCCCTCCGGAGGCTGGGGGTGGTCTGGGCTCAGAAGCTAGGGCAGCGGGAGCCCCCAAGTACCTGGGGAGAGAGGTGGCTCCAGTTCCTTCTGCCCAGGGGGGTGGGGCTCCTTTTCTCTAGGCAGCGTACCTGTGGTTTAGCAGTCGGGTTAGCTGGTCTGTGCTCCCCGTGGCTGCCGGCGCAGACAGGCCAGGCCGTGTTGGGCATCTCCCAGCTGGCTTCCTTCGTTCGTTGGGCTGGCTGTGGTCCGAGCCAGGCTGCCGTTTCCTTTGTTCCTAGTTTTTAG